GTTTTACAAAAGTATAACTCTTGACAAAATAATGCTGGACCAATCCACTAAGATAATAACAAAAGACTCCAGAACAGATAAAACTGAACTTGATGAGCTCCAGTAGGCTTAGCCTGAGGCCCACTGCCTTCAAGCTTTCCTTGGTGCTCCAATGTGACTAAGAGGGTTTTGACTCTGACTTCTAGGTCACCACTCTTCCCAACTGGAACAGGTCCATCCGGACATAAAGGGACCTCAAAACCTAATGATTAATCAAAATCACCTGATTAATCAGTGATGCTTTCAGACAAAGAGCTCAATCAAAAGGGAAAATGTGAAAGTGGTCAGAATCAAAATGGAGTCACTAATGATAAGAAAACCTTGACAAAAAGAGCCACAAAAAGGCCTTGAAGACAGAGGTCTCATGCTTGTAGATGTGACAACAAAGACTCTACAAAAAACACAACCCCATGTAAAGGTCATCACAACCTTATACAAAAAAACACCTCCGCAAGGACGTCTGCCCAGCAACTTCCAATCTGTCCTCACGCTGGCACCACTCTTATTGTTGGTCTTAGTAACCAAGGATAATTCCTTCAAAATAACTATGTAATCCTCTTCATTTTTTCTTTTAAAAACCTTTGCCTTCTGATATTTCCCTGAATATGCTCATAGTTTACTATGGCATGCATATTCCCACAGCAACGTTTTATTCACAAATACACTTACTTGGCCTCTCTCTTTGTTATTTATGTGTAAACAGGGCAAAGTGTTACCACTTAAAGAATTTGGGAAATTTTTACACTCTTTTTCATTTCATAATTTTTCTTAATTAAAAAGATATATGTGTGTTGTAATCCAGATGTCATCCTGATGAGCAATGCTGTTGTAAGTCAACATCACACAGAACCAGATCATCTAGGGTTTCATGAGAAAGATGACTGCACCAAATATTTTTTGGATTTGGGCAGCCTTCACTAAGAACTTACAGGACCATAAGAAAGATGCTGATCAATATTTGTATTCTGCTGTTGAAATTTCATGTAATACTCCTCTTCCTGTCTGCTCCGCACCCAACAGCATGACGGGATGGTTTCCCTCTCCTCTCTTCCTTCAGACCCCACCTTGTCAGAGTGTAAAGGAAAATTGTTTCTTACCTCCCTCTGCAAGTGAAGTGAACTCGGGAGATGAAGATAGTGGAGAACATAATCTTCCTTCTTGAGAGTTTAGAAAAGGATTGGAGAAACTGAACACTGTTATCATTATTTAAGTCTCTCCTATTTTCAACTAATCGTACCAGTAATGCTTGCCACCATTTTAGAGTCTCAAATTTGTAAGTCTAGCACCCTAGCAATTGCTCTTTAATTGTATTTTGTGGGAGCTTGGGACTATCTGTTTAAAAAAGGGGGGGGTCAACCAATGGCTTTAGTTTTTTATTGGATGACTACTGAGTAGCAACTATTTTATATCTAGAAAAAAATACTAGAAGTGTAAGATTAGGATCCACAGATGATAATATACATGAAGACTTATTTAGTTTATTTATGTGCCACGTGAACTCCCTGAAATGCTATTGACAGAAACTCTACCGTGTTGCTATTGCCCTTCTTGGTAACGTTGGCCAAATATCGACAAGCTATGTCAGTTTCAGGATGGACTTACTGCTTGTCATTAAATTCACTGAAACACTAAAATGTTCAATGTGGTGCTTTGAAAATCTGGCATGTCACTTTTCACTAAATGACAATTCTAATTTTTGAAAGGTCCCTTATAAAGTGAATTTGGATGATCAAAATTAAACTGAAGTTTATAGAGGAACAAGGTGAGAAGACAAATAAAAATGCTTTGCTGGTTTTTCTTAATCCCACCCACACCATTAGAAATAGACATTTTAAATTAAACTTCCTCAGTTATCCTGTTTGTCATTTCTGGCTAAAGCCTGACTGATTAAACGCTCTACCAATGTAAATGTTACACTGTTTATTAAAATAATTACAATCATCTTGCTGCTAGTCTCTAACCCCTCAACCTGTATTTTTATATTCTTCTTTTTTTCCTACGTTTATTTTGCTTTGGGAGGCAGTATAGCATGGTAAGAGGATGGGCTCTCGAGCCAGACTTCATGGGTTTGAATTTTGGCTCTGCCTCTTCCTAACAGTTTGATGTTGGTCTAAGTTATTTAGCTAACCTATCTCATGTGGTTATTATAGTGATTAGGAGTTGATATACTGAAAGCACTCAGGACAATATTATCTATAGAAAGTGCCAGGTAAGTGTCTGATTTCATTATTCAAATTATTTATCAACACCTGATATATTTGTTTGATGTATTTATTTGTTTGTTACCTACTGTCCATTCAAATGTAAGTTCCCTAAAGTCTGAGACTTGGTTTTGCTCACAGCTGAAACTCTAGTGTTTAGAAAAGTACTGTACAGTAGAACTTTCTGTGCTGATGGAAAGGTTCTATATCTGTGCTATCTAATACAGTAGTCACCAACCACATGCAGGGATTGAGTATTTCAAATGTGACTAGTGTTACTGAGGGACTGATTTATAATTTTTTTTAATTAATTAAAATTTAAATAGACACATGTGGCTAGTGGCCACTAGACTGGACAGCAAGACATTGCCCAGCCCATCATAAGCGGTACTCGATGAATCTTCACTAAACAAATGTCCACCATCTATTGAATTCTAGATATTTTGACGGGTGTGGTGCCAAGCATTTTACAGGTGCTACGCTGGGAAAACCTCTCAAGCAAACTATGAGGGAAATATCACTATTCCCTATATACAGATGAAAACATTGAGTACAAAGGATTTAATATGTGACAGCCAGTAAATACGTTAGAATCGAGCACTTGGCCAACAGCAGTGACCTGAATTGGACTCAGCTTGTCACAACCCTTTGCTTTCAGAGTATCAAACTGCTAGTCCTTCTTCCAAGAGATGAGAATACTTTCCCAAGCTCCCTTTCTGTGCCAGAGCCAGCTCTCCATCTACCTAGCCTTATATATGTATTTTTTTCAACATTCCAAATGAATATATGTATTTCTAATGACAAATTCCTTGTGTGTGGGATCCACATCTCACTTTCATACTGTTGGCACTATGTCGGAACAATTCTTCAATAAATGCCAGATAAAAGAATAGAAGATGAAAGGATGCTCAGATGGACGAATGTAAAGGGTCTAAAAGAATTTCGTCATCTTGTATCAACCACACTAACATACACAAGAAGAAATCATGAGCATTTACTGACTTGAATGCTTTACCTTTGAACCCTGAACAGAGCTTTTAAAGCAGGTGTTGGCAAACCAGATAGTAAATATTTCAGGCTTTGTGGGTCATAAAGTCTGTCACACCTACCCACCTCAACTGTTCTTGCGTGATAGCAGCCGTAGACAAGATCTAAATCACGAGCATATTACAATAAAACTTTATGATCATCAAAATTTGAATCTCATACAATTTTCACATGCCTCGAAATATTCTTCACATTTTTTAACCATTTGCAAAAACCATTCTCAGCTTTCAGGCCGTAGAAAAATAAGCAGTAAGCTGTCGATGCTAAAAGGTGGCCTAGACAGGCAAACTGACCCCAAATCGAAAGCGAAAAAAAAAATTACTTTTTCCTCCCTTGGATCATGCCATATCTTTTTTCTTTTTTTGCTCTTCAGGGATTATTCTCAGTCAATGTGCATTTTTTTTAATACCTTCATATCTACCTCTCTCTCTCTCTCTCTCTCTAAATAGTCTTTGAAAGACCCAGTCAGGACCCCACACCAGCTTTAAATGAAGCGCTTACACGCAGCCAGAGACGTCGGATGAACTACAACCCCGGCTTCTTTCCCGTCACAAAAGAAAGACGCTTTCTGCCTGCACGACTTGGAGGCGACCCCTGCTTTTCCCTGGCTGCCCATCAGTCGGCGCCTTTCGCCGTCCTTTTTTCCCGAGCCCGCTCCGGGGGCCGCGGTCGCTCGGCAGCTCGCGGGTCACATGGCCTGCCCGAGCGAGGGGAGCCCCGCGCCGGAGCTGCGCGGCGGGAGGCGGTGAGGCTCCGGCGCGCGCCCGCACCGCGAGGTGCCAGCTCCTCCCCGGCCCCCGCGATGGCGCCTCGGCCGGGATCAGCCTGCCAGCCAGCCTGGGCGACACGAGAGGCGGCCCCCGGCGTGCGCCGGGGACAGAGCTGACCGCTCCCATCCGGTAGGTTTCCGCTGCGCAGGAGCCGCCCAGCCTTTCTGGCACGGTGGTGGGAGCCCTGGAGAGACACCAGGGCGGGGGGTCGAGGATTATGGGTGGCCGCACCTGGCGCCCAGAGAGCAGCTGCGGGCCGGGGGGACGTGGCGGAGGGCCTGTGCCCAGGTGGGTGCGCTCCGGGCAGGCGGCCTTCGCGGCGGCCGGCCTCTTCCTGCCGGAGGGCTGCGAGGACCCCGAGGGGCGCCCGCGCGGGATGAACGGTGTCGCCGCAGGGGCGCCTCCCCACCCCCCGGCCGCGCCAGCTGCCTCGCGAGGCCGACAGAAAGACGCGAGTGTGGCGCGTGCCAGCCTGGGTGAAAAACCCCACTGAGCCGAAGCGCCCGAGGGCCGGTCACCTAGGCCGCCCGTCCACACCCTGGGCGAGCCGGTGCGCCGAGAGCGCGGCTGCAGCGTGGGTTTTATGTGGGCGATCTCGCAGCCCTGGGGCTGGGCAAGGGCGACCGGGCAGAGGAAGGCGACCCTCCCAGCAGCTGGAAAGACCAGCCGAAGGGAGCCAGGGCAGCTTTGGAGACGGTCAGCCTCGGCCTACAGGTGGGAAAACTGCGGTTTGAGCGCGGCAGGGATTGCCCAAGGTCAGTGGCAGACACTAGATCCAGGGCTTTGGGCTTTCCGCCACCATTCTCCTTCCACGAGGCAAGATTGGATCCTCCCTGGGCGTGTCTCGCCCTCTTTGTGGCCCTTGGCACGAGCTTCGCCACTGCCGCACTGCGCCCGCCGTGTCTTGAGGTGGGAGCTCTTGCAGGGTCGTTGTGACCGGCATCTCATGCACAGCCCACGCTCTCTCCCGGGGACCGCAGGGCGGCTCCAGTGATGATCTCACTATGCAGACCATTAGCAAAAACCTGCAGGTGTGTGTGCACGTGTGTGTGTATTTCCCCAAGAAAAGTAATCCTTGTAAAGGGAATAGCTTTTTTCTGCGTGTGTTCTAGAATTCACGGCGCCACGTACTTTATGAGATGAGAAAACTCTGTGTGTCTGAACATCTAACATTAGTAGAATTATTAGAATTATTTTAACGATAAGCTTATTGCAAAATAGTCAGGAAACTAAAATGTAAATAAGAAAATAAGGATGACTTGAAAGTTCAACTTCTAGGTGTTTGAGATTGTCTACATATCTTACAGTTTTCTCTACAGACACATATTTGAAGTTTTAAATCAATAACTTGGACAGAAAATCGTATTTTAATTTGCATGTCCTTGATTACCTGTAGGAATTAACACTTTTCCTTTGTGTATTAGCCTTTTTGCATTTATGAGGGTGAATTGGCTGCTAATTCTTTTGCCGGTATTGCAAATGGAGTATCTTTCTCTTCTTGATTTTTAAGCACATTTTCTGTTTTTCACATTAAAGTAGTAATCGTCTGTCATATGTTACACCAAAATGAGAATTTCTTGGCAATGCTTACTAGTTCTAATTCCAAATGATCTTTAGATTACTTTGGTCAGTTCTTATTGTGATGGTGGTTATATGGGTGTATAAATTTGACAAAGCTCATTGAAGTACACATTTAATCAGTGCATTTTATTGTATGTAAACCATACCTCATAAAGTTGATTTTTTTAAAGCCGAGAAAGTTATGATGCTGGGTAATGAGAATCTGCCTAATCAGGTGGTAAAACCTATTTAAAGCTTCCATAATTAAAGCAACAAGGTGAGGGCACCACAGCGCACAGATGTCAACATCTACAAATGGGTGCAGATGTGTAATTTGATCCATCATAATCATAGCGGTTTAAATCAGGAATAAAAATTGAACGAACATGGTGCCCCCTCATGTTTACCATCTCTACCTTCTAGTCTGTACCCTTCATCTCTCCTTCACTAAGTTATATTCCACAATAAAAATAAAAGGGTCATAGCTCTTGTTCATTTTTCCTCAACTTACATTCATAAAGTTTGCATTTTCCCTTTCCTTTCGAGACTGTAGCTCAAAAAAATGCTAGGCATTTTTATTTGCCTACAGTTTGCCCGTCTCTCCCTTCCTTCCTCCCTCCTCCATTTTTGTCTCCTCTTTCTCTCTATATATTTTTTCAAAATTGCCTACTTGAGCTGTTATAACAGACTGCCACAGACTAGGTGGTTTAAACAGCAGAAGCATTTGTTTCCCTCAGTTATGGAAGTTGGAAGTTCAAGGTCAGGGTGCCAGCATGGTTGGGTTCTGGTGAGGGCCCTCTTCCTGGTTTACATGGTAGAGAGCAGAGAAAGGAAGTGAACCCTCTCCTGTCTCTTCTCCTAAAGGTCTTAATCCCATCATGGAAGCCGCACACTCATTACCTAGTTGCCTCCCAAAGGCCCCATGTCTGAATACCAGCACCATCAGCCTAGCAGGGAGTAGGATTTTCTTTTTTTACTTTTTTGCAGTTTTTGGCTGGGGCTGGGTTTGAACCTGCCACCTCCAGCATATGAGACTGGTGCCCTATTCCTTTGAGCCACAGGTGCTGCCCAGGGAGTAGGATTTTCTTTTTTTCTTTTCTTTTCTTTTCTTTTTTGGCAGTTTTTTGGCTGCGGCTGGGTTTGAACCCGCCACCTCCAGCATATGGGACTGGCGCCCTACTCCTTTGAGCCACAGGCGCTGCCCAGGAAGTAGGATTTTAACATGAATTTGGGGAGATACAATCATTCAGTCCACAGCAAAAACCTAGCTAAGACTTCTTTTATGTTAGCATAATATATTTAAACCTTTCTCCTCTTTCATGTCTCCATAGCATATCCTTTTATGATTATCTAAGACTGTTCCCTGTTGCTCGGCATTTTGTTTGCCTGCAGTTTGCCCAACCCTCCTTTCCTTCCTCCCCACCCCCGTTCCTCTCCCCTCTTTCTCTCTCTCTCTCTCTCTTTTTCAAACTTGCAGTGACTATTTCTTATCCATCTTTGGTAGCATATGTTGGCATTTCTGCAGGGCTGAGTCTTAGAAGTAAGATTTTTATGTCAAAGGGGGAGCACATAAATAATGTTTATAGGTAACTGCTCTAACACTCCCTACAAAGATTACATCAGTTTATATGGAAGTGCCCAATTGTTGAACTGTGCCACTCTTGAAATCAGTGGGATTTAGAGTATGTTAAATATAGAGAGTACTTTTCAAGAAAGGGACCTCTGCGACTAAGTCTTTCCAGCTGGGAAAATGTTATTCGCCTCTGTTTATTACTGATTTTTTAAATGTCCGTCAGTAGGATTTTGTAGCATGTGTACATATCCCGCATATTTCTTAAATTCATGCCTAGGTATTTTAGTTGTTTATTTTTTTCCATTTTGACTGGGATCTTTTATTCCATTAATTAGTTGGTGATAGATTACATGAAAGCATTTATTATATATATAGTGTGTGTGCAAAAACGACATATGTTTATGTAGTATATGTATTTATATTCTTGCTCTATGTATTATATGTTATTTTTACATATTTTGTTAACAACCATGTTCTGTCTACAAGTCTGTTCCCATTTCTAATGGCTTTTCAACTGATTTTCTTGGGCTCCAAATCTGTGCAGGGGAGACGTGCGTGTTGGTGAGGATATGGGTTCTGGAGCCAATTTGTCTGGGTCACCCAGACAAGTTTGGCCACCCGACTTAAAAGTTTGCTTTGTTAACCTTGAATACAAGTTAATTGTGCCTTAGTTGTTGCTTTTTATTTCCAAGTATAAAATGAGCTTAATTGTAATACTTCCCATAGGCTTTTTGTGAGGATCAATCGCTGGGATGCCTACAACAGTGCCTGGCACATACCTGCTCAGCCACCATCTATAAATAAGTTGGTCCCCGCACATTATGTGATCAGGCTCTTTGACACGCCCAGTTTCATAGCTGAGGAACTGAGACCCATAGAGGTCAAATGACTTTAAATGGCCATTTACTTGCTCAGTAAACTTTGAGTCTTTTGTATGCATAGTTACTGTGCTAAGTCTGTGAGGGATACAGAAGATAATTCAGACTGAGTCTACTAAAAAAAGAGACTTAAAAGTCCCACTGGGATCCAAGTCAAGGGCCATAAATGAAACCATGGAAGGCAGCAGGCATGGTGGAAAAAACATGGGCTTTGAAATTTGTCCTGTATTTGAATTTTCTGCTTTCATCTTGGTAGCATCTATTGTTTTCATCTAAATGGGATTAATTCCATTGCTATTTGAAAGTTGCTATTTTGGTCAGAAGAGACAGACGCAGGGGTCTAGCACAGCACTGGATCTGTTGAGTACTGCCGTAGTAAGTGGTAGCTATAAATAGGGGCAGTGTAAAGGAGAAGGGGACAAATGAATGGCCTGAAGGAAGAGTTCGTGTAAAGGGCCTTCATATTGAGGAAAAAGAGAGAGATTGTTTCTGGTTGGGGACCCCAGGGTTGGCTTTTGGAAGAGGTGCCTTTTGAGCTGATTGTTGATGGTTGAATTAGCCTGTGGGAGAAGGAGAAAGGCATAGAAAGATCTTAGTAGTTGGAACGGAATTGTGAAGAATCATGGCAAAGAATTTTAACTTTATTTGATTGTCACTGAGATATAGGATAGTTTACAGAAAAGGGTTCATGTTCTGACCCATCCTTTTGAGGATCAGACAGAAAACAACTGCATCAAATCCACAGTGTTTTATGTCTGACAAAGGGCTGTCATCATAGCCACTGTCTCTTTCATCATCAGAGTCTGTCGCTACATGAGATACATTTTATTTTCCTATTTTGCAGAGACAAAACTGGCACACAGAAATCAATGACTTCTTTATGCAAATTTACCTAATTAGTGAGTGTTGGGACTAGAATTGGACCCAGATCTTTTGGCTTCTGTCCGTTATTCTGGAGGTCAGAAGCTCAGGTAGGGTCCTTTGTCAGTCAGCTGCCTGGAGGTGAGGAGAAGAGATGGACAGAGGAAAAGAGAGGCATAGTAAGAATGGGGTTAGGAAGTGACCGGATGGAAGTGAGAAGTCAGAACTTACTTTTGGACCCAGGAGCCTCGGAAAGT